AGAGAGAGAGAGAGAGAGAGAGAGAGAGAGAGAGAGAGAGAGAGAGAGAGAGAGAGAGAGACAGACATGGGTTGGAGGCAGCCTGACAGGATTAGTCTAGAGTGGTAAATCACGGCCACTGGAGGAATGAGTCAATCAGTGAGTAGGGCAGAGGCCGGGGAGAAGAAGGTGCTGGACAAGATTTCACCATCGGCAAGAACCCTACCTTCAAGCGAGGCACAGGAGGCTGACCACAGAGGCGACCAGATAGCCCTCCACAATCCTGCCCTCTAGCCTCAGCCATGAGAAGAGCTTCAAGAGGCTCCAAGGGGACTTTTAATCCCGCCAGTGCCCTGCACAGGCCTCTAATCCGCTAGGTGTCTGCTGCTCTTCCCAGCCCGAGGCCACACACACACTCTCACCTCCAACCTGTGCCAGTTCCTGAGAAACTCAGTCTTGGAAAATCACCCGCCAGATTCTCCATTCGCAGGAGCCCACCCCAAACTGCCATGCTGGGGCTAATTCATCAACTCCAGTGCCTCAATTTCCCCACCAAAGAATTGCCAGGAGAAGCTCTGCTTCTTGTGGGGATGGAAGAGGCCATATTCATCCCTGGATAGAATAGCAAGAATAGGGTAGAGAGGGGGCTGGAGAGATGGCTCAGAGGTTAAGAGCACTGGCTGCTCTTCCAGAGGTCCTGAGTTCAATTCCCAGCAACCACATGGTGGCTAACGACCATCTATAATGAGATCTGGTGCCCTCTTTTGGTGTTCAGGTGTGCATACAGACAGAATATTGTATACATAATAAAATAAGTAAATCTTAAAAAAAAAAAGACTAGGGTAGAGAAAGCCACAGCCCATTAAGCCTGTGGGGACAGCTGGCCTTCTATTGTAAGTTCCAGTACCATCAGAGAGCAAATGGGAAGTGAGGTGGTCCTGGTACCCTTAGCCATTAGACGGTTGGGAACTCATAAATCTGGGTCCAGATAGCTGGAAGGGGAGCCAGGTATGATGGTGCAGGCCTATAAGCGTGGCACTTGGAAGACAGGCAGGACAACTGGGAGTTCAACCTCAGCCCCTGTTATATATCAAATTGAAGCCAGCCTGGGCTATAGGAGAACAGGGCCTCAAAACAAGAGCAAAACCCCCAAACCTCTGGAAGAAACCTCATGGCTTGCAAAGGGTACTGCAGAATGCTAGGGCCTTCGAGGCCTCTGAGGCCCAGAGGCAGTAGGGAGGGACTAAGGGGCCCCTCCGTGGAACAGGCAGCTCCACTCTGAGCCTGTTTATGTACTCGCCTCCTTCCCAGCTGAACAACACAGTACAACTAGCTGATGTATGTGAGGCCTTCGCTGAGTGTATGTGAGGCCACCGAACCCTCAGGCCAC